TTAATAATTGAAAATAACTTACATGCCAAGGATTTTTCTCCTTGAAAAAATGAATTCTCTTTTTTCTATCTCTCAATCTTATAGTTCAATGATTGCAACTTTAATTTATATGAATTGCAAGGTCATGGGCTAGCTTATAAGTTCTTATATTTTATGGGCTTGTTAATTTTTTTTGGTCATCCTTTTTTTATTACTTCTGGCGTACCACAACCCCATATTTTAAATCATCATATTAAATTTAATTTTGGTATTTTAACTTATTTATGGCCGCTGTAACCCCACAAACGAATAAACCGTGTCCTTACGATTGAGCGGCCATAACTTATTAGATTAATTAATGGATGGTTCATGATTTATAAAGCTAATTAGACTATTAAATCATGAACAATAATAAATAAGAGGTAGAAATAAATAATAGATGAGCGATATTTTATTGCAATGAAGAAACTTGGAATACAAAATATCGCTAATCAAGAACAGAAATGAGGAGATTTTTATTAAGTGTTTTCTGTATAGTAAAAATTCACCGGTTAGTCAATATATTTCACATCTTACCATTTTTTGAAGAGATTTGTAAAATATAAATGATGGATTATGGGTGATTGGTCATTATATATTTGTTTATTCTTTGTCTTTGTCTTTGTGTTTCGTTTCTTTTTTCTTTTCGTTATGAAAGTCCATGAATAAGAAATAAGGAAGTATAATGAAGGAATATGAATGATAATTTTAAAATGATAGATTAACCGTGACTATTAATGAAAATTAATGGTGGAAATGGTGTCATGAAATTATATAAGATGTAAATGAAGGGGTGAACGTAAGAAAAAACAAATGCCTCATAAATTTAAAGAAGGTTTCCTAAGCTATTATGAAGTTGTAAAAGGTCCCTTAGAAAAAGAAAACCATGAAAGAATGTTTGTTTTAGCTAGGATGGAATCTGTAAGTGATGAATAGAAAAGATAGAGAGAGAAAATAAATATAAGAGAAGAACACATAAATATAATTTAAATGATAAAAGCTGTCATACCTTAATTATTCAATGTCTACATATAAAGGAAATGGAAAGAAATTAGTTTTAATGTCTGATATAATTTCAGTAAAGAAGATAACAGATATGGTGAATAAGAAATAGAAAGCCATGAATCCTATATTTTAATGAATGAATTTAATGTGAGCAAAAGATAAATTAATATGAAGATAAAGACAAAAGAAAATATTTTGATATTATTCGCCAATGGCATTTTCCACATCAATTCTTTTATTTAATTCTTGCCTTTGGCGATCACTAATTATAATTCAACATCGTTCAATCTATTAATTTTTATCTGTTGCTTATTTTCCTATGCACATCTGCCACTAGCATTTTATAATTATATGTGTTCTTTATTTTACTATTTGTGGCTTCCCAGGGGATACAAGAACTAATATGAACGATAAGATTAATTTCTTTTGGTGGTCATTATTATGCTATTTTCTTAAGGAATTATTCCCGCCTATATACTTTTAACTCGTGGACTTCTCATAATTTATTATAATGAATGAGCGGGAATAATTTCATGACAACTTGTCTTTCATAATCTATTTCTTATTTATAATTCATTACACTACATGATCAAAAGGCACTTTTTTTTATTTGAGGTTATGGACACTTCTTTATTATTAAGGACATTGCATTGAATTTCTGGGTTATGACTGCGTTATTTTCTTCTTATCATATTGGAATAGCCGTTCACTCTCATATTAACACTTGGCTTTTTAAATGTATTTCATTCTATCTTCTTAGTTCTCGCCAATTCCTCATTCAAATATTGGGCCGGGGATTGAATCATTAGTACAAATGAAAATTCTACAGCTATAATGAAAATAATTTGCTAATTAAATAGCTGTTTGTTTGCATGTCCAAATCATTTCCACCATTAGCAAATTTAGTCCTGATCTTTTATGAAAAATTTTTGTACTTTGGAAGAGCTTTATTGTAATCCATCTTAATTTTTCATAAGCTTCCAAAGATAATTCCATAAGCTAGGTCGTTCATTTCTTTCATATTCATTCTCATATTTATTCATTCTGTATTACTCTATTCTATTTGCATTAACTTGTAAAAGACATCCTGCATTATATTATGAGTTTTGGATGACTTTCTATTCATTCATTGCCTGGTTTTTGCTATATGTAAGGCATTTGTTATTCACGGTTTCCCACTTCCTTTCATTTGGTCTTCTTCTCATTCATTCTTCTATTTTGTTCTCTCTCACGTTCAATTTCATTCGCCTGTTCAATCATCATTTATAATCAGATATGTTGCTCTCATTCCTTTATTATTTGCATTGTTGGTTTTGGTCTTTTTCTATTTCATATTATATCTTAAGGGTCATTCTATTTATGGTCTTTCCTTATCTCTTCTTCTTTTAGTATTCTACAGGCACTTCATTATTATTGGCCAATAGATTCAATGGTTCATTGTTATCCTATTTTAATTTCTTGGCTATTTCTCTATCTTTCATCTCTTAAAAACAATATACGCTCTTTAAATTTATAGGTTGCTCCCCGTCTATTTATTTTATATATCTTGTTGTTTTTTAGGCTTTATAAGCTCTGGCATGGCAAAAAAAAGGATGGTTTCTTTCGTTATAAAAATATGATAACAGATAAAGCCCAAAATTAAGAAGAATATGATGGTGAAAGATATTAAAACTATAGCCTGGCGGATGACCCTTGGCAAAAATATAAAATAGATTGCCAAGTCATGATTATAGATAATGGAATAGGTAATAATGAATGATCCAACATTAAAATTTATAATAACCTTTTCTTTAGTTTTAGTGTTGGGAATGAATGGTCTTTATCTGGGGGTTGTAGCTGGGGTTCTTACAATTTTATTCATAACTTTCCAACATCAGGTTCTCCAGCTACAACCGTGTAACACCTTATGACTGATATTATCTTTTGTCTCTTTTTTATCAGTCATCATGGTGTTTATTGTCTATTATTGGTTCATTCACATTAATTTTTCTTCATCATATCTTTGTCTTTTCACAATGAAAATTAATGATCATAACTTTTATTTCTTATCTATAATCATGATCACACATTTTATTTTATATTCATGTGTGAGGTTAACGGCTAGTCCATTTATATTACTTGGTATTTTGTTTTATCTTTCGTACGTTTTCTTTGGTCGTGAAGGCTCCAATTTGAAAGGGATATTCTATCTTTATAATTTATGGGAGAATTTTCCATTTAAATGACTTATGGAAATTCACTGATAATAATAAAACATGATGACCATTAATTTCCTCCACAAGCATTCTTTATTACCAAACAAAAAGGAAAATGTCAATAAATTAATGGTCATCCTCCATATATATAGAGACTAGCATGTTTATAATCGCTTTTTGACAGCGATCACATTTTTCATAAATTTGGCAGGGAATTAATAAAGAATCATGAATTTTTCTAGAAAATCTCTTATTGAAAATTCATGAATAAGAAAGAAAAGAAGTGAATGATCCAATATTTTCTATGGGTTAAGATATGAAAGGGGAAATATTGGTGAATGAACCTTGCAATCACATCCTAGATCTGGAGGTGAATGATAAGGGACAGATGTGATTGTAAGGGCTATAAAATTTATGATCACTGATTAAAAATCGCTTATTAATCCATAAATGTTATAGCATATTTATTATTCATTGCATTAAAATCCTTAAGTAATTTCAATAGTTTTTAATGCATTATTTTTTATTACCACCTAAATTAAGTGGACTTGATATTTTCATTCTAAATTGATTCTAAATTGTATCCGGGGTCAATTGCTAGGTCATTAATTATATTGGAAGTCGCCAAAAAGAGAAAGAAAGTATAAAGGGGCGATTTCCTCATATAAAAAGAATAAATGTTTGTGTCCCGTTTTTTTCTTTGTGTTTGTGTGTTTTTCCTTGTCGTTTTTTATCTGTGCTTTTTGTAAGTGAGGTCACCCTGGGAATCCATCCCCTTTATATAAGTGATCGATAGGCGGGATGGATTCCTGGTCACATCTGGGCGCTCGTGCTGATCGATGCAGCTGTCAGATGTACAGCGATTCGGCTTGAGTTGAGCGTGCTAGTGCGGGATGGAGAAATGCTTTGGACGTTTGACAATCTTTAGCACAGCTGTGCGCCTCATAGGGCGCATTCTTCCCAGCCACGGGGGGGGGGCCCCCCTACACGTGAAGTTTTCACGTGATTCATGATTCTCGAGGCTGCGAGCCCTTGACTTGCTAAAGCAAGAGCAACTCCAGCTAGCTGATGCTAGCTTTCGTGAATATCTAATAACATCTAATAAACCTCACTTGACAGGTGGGGAACAAACAAAAGATTGACCTTGACCAACGTTACCGACTAGTTCAAGTGTTTGTGTGAGGAAGCGGCATCTTTTGGCGATGACATGTGGCGACATTCAATGTTCGACCCTGAAGTACCCCCCCTCACAGGAAAGCACATTGCAATGAACATCCATTTAACTTTACACAGTAGGGAACCAAACGGGTCTGCACAACAAACAACTATGGAATTTAGTCGTATGATGTCGTATATAATAGATTAATTAATCAAATTAATATTTCATTACAAGTGTTTCAACATCAATTACATAGAGTACATCACAGTACCAACACGTACCAATACCTCGAACATCCCTTCCAATGGTTTTCCGGATTTTCAGGTTGCTCATTCTCACTATTCTCAGTATCCCCAACAAGGCTAGAGTCATCCGCTGAACGTCAACGTCATCGGATCTGCTCATTGCACTCCAACGATACAGGGAAATGCCCGGAGACGGGTTTGGGACAAGGATTATCTTCTCCTGCTGATCTAAATAGCAGTCTCTATATGATATGTTCTTTGGCAGGCTACATCCGGAATCCTCAGAAACTGCTTGGACGGTTGGTCTATCATGCTCAACACATCCCTCGTCACACCTCTTACCGATGATCCAGCTCTCGTCGGAAACCAGTTCCCGGCCTTGTGCTGCTCGCACCAGACCTTCTTCCAGCCTGAAGGGAGTGGCGCTTCCTGCGCAAGTGGAGCAACGAGGGAGTCGCAATTCCGGCCGGTGCCTTCGTTGCTAGCTTCCCCGATCTTGGAAACAGCTAGAAACACTGCCAACACTCAATTTACAACATTCACAAACCTGAAAGCAGGTCTGTGAATGACAGCATGAATTAGGAATTTTTCTATACTGTTCCAGAGATCCTTTGGTCGACAATAGTTCTTGACACCCGACACCCGACCAATCCAATCATGCATGTAGCGGACGAATTCTCCGAATTCTCCATGATCAGGACCTTCAATCGAAAACGATTTCAAACTGACTGCTGCCCCCACAAGGCCTTGAGCAAAAGCCTATCACCAGCAGGGCAGGAGTTGATTTGTTGTATCTCTATGTTTCGCTTGGAATGGAAGATTACGCGAACACTTGCGATGGCAGGATTGTATAAAACACCTGTCTCGTCCTTGGTTGTTGTGGAAAATGAGATTTATATAAAATGAATCCAGAAGGTGTTAAGGTTGGTCAAAACTATGCTAACTACGCCGGCTTCCATGGCATATGTTCACCATATTTCGCCCATGGTTCTGGACATGATTTGCAAGCAAATGTCGGGCAACACCACTTTTTTTAAAGACCATGGTATAAACCACCACACGTTCTCTTACGTGGGAAGTGTCTCGGGAGACCCCTGCGGGTGAAGCCGGCGACCCGCAGACCTCCTCCTTCGCTTTCACCAGGAGAGCATCAGCTGCACCGATGCCCTGAGTCGGTGCCGAGTCCAGCGCCGCCTCGACGCATCCCACGCCGTTTCCCCCGTATTTTCAGACCAAGCCAGCCTTGAATTCGCTGGATCCCCGTGGGGTTGGATCAGGGCTGCTTGTGTCGTGGTTCAGTTGAAGAGTGCCATTCTTTTGCAACCGACCATCGAACAAACTAATTAATTAACATGGCAAGAACGCTTGGGGCTTCAACGATGGGCTTGATCTGTTTGATTCAGGTTTCCACCGGCTTCAGGATGTGCAACCGGCTTCAGGTGATGCGGGAAAGGTGACATGAGGTCTCTCAGCTCCCACGAAAGCGGAGTAGTTATTGGGCTTGTTTCAAGCATGGTTTGTGCACGACTTTACCCGTCAAACATGCAAATAGACAGCAACATTGATACAAGATTGACTTGAGAGGAGGGAGACACGAAATGTAGGACAGCGGGAAGAGAAGAGAACGCGAGAGGCAGGAACAAAAATGCAATGTTCGACATGGTGATTTATCCCCTCGGAGGCGACCTTCCGTAAATATACTTTCATATGCACTCTAAATGTTCAAACAATTCTTAGGAAAACACACTTGCCCCATGGCTCAGATCATCGGTGAGCATTGAATCGGAGCATCACAGGATTTAAACTATCCTGAAACCATAAGAGGCTCACGAAGACGTTCCCCAGGACAAAATTGACGCGCTTCACAAAACAAACTCTAGGTATGTATCCCCTCGGGGAACACCTTTCGTGATTAGAATTTCATATTCACTCTTTCTGAATGTTCAAGAGGGTTTCAACTATCCTGAAATCATGAGAGGCTCACGAAGACGTTCTCCAGGAGAGAATTGAATTTAGAAGGGGGGGGTCGGTATTGAAAAATAAATTCCCCGGGGGGCCGGGGGGGGGGTCTGTATTGAGAAATCAATTCGAAGGGGGGAGGGGGGGGGGGTTGAATTGAGCAATCAATTATATATTCGACCCGGACTCGCCGACACTTGCTTCGCAAGACAAATTCAAGGTATCCCCTAAAGGGCTACCTTTCGTGATCAAGATTACCATCCAAACAATCACCAAAGCTTCACAAAAACAACACATCAAATCACCGGATTCCGGATTCCGCAGACCCCATTGGGCCGATTCCGAACAATGGCCACCCAATGGCCAGCCCGCCCCCTCCGGAGATCCGGTCGTGAACACCCCGAGTCCAGCGCCTTGGCATCACGGTAGAGGAAGAACTCCAGTTCACTGCCCAAAGGCGGCGGACCAGCGTGACTGGACGGGATGCACGGGTTTCAGAAATGCCCACCGGCAGTATGATAGTATGGGGAATCCAGCTATCATAGTGAATTTCCGCATCGTCATCGAAACTGGTCTTAATCACTCCGAGAGGATATTAATCGGGACGCCTGGTGATGTACCTGCGTTTCCAGTGTTTCCAAACCTGTATTAATGCGTACATGGCGAGCGGCTAAGGAAAGCGAGGAAAGGGCCGCGGAAAACACAATGAGATATAAGTTTTTGATTGTTATAGTGGCAGGCGGCTACTCCAAAAACCACAATCTACATTATTGTGTCTGGTCTTTGAATCGCGGATGTTAATTAGTGTTAATTATATACTACAGTAATTTACGCTTGCTCACTGGCAAGACGGCAAGCCAACACCGCAGCAAAAACATGTCCAATTGAGATGTTGGGCTTGGTTGGAGGCCACAGTGCCACCGAGGGGCGGAGCAACCGTTGGATAGTTTTTTTTATTTTTATTCTTTTTAAGGAGTCATGCCCAACGGCCTGAAGACATGGTCTATAGTTCCTATATGTATCTATGTTCCTATATTATATGTTTTTGAGGGTATTGGAGGCCATTTGGCAAGCAGCGATATCATGAGTACTAGTGTGTACTTCTATGAAACAAAGAAACACCCAAAGCAAGGGAGGGGAGACAGTTCGGTTCCAACTGTCTCTAGCTCTAGTTCCAATGTTCCGGTCCCAGCTTCAGTGCCATGTAACTGGCAAGAGCATTCTATATACATTCTAATAAGATTTTCTCTCGGGGTGCACAGGAACGGCAGTTCCATGTCCTGTTGCATAGGGGTTGTATGAAAGAGTTGCGAATCTTCATTTTTGGAGAACTTCCACTGTGTGGATCCGCTAGAATCCGCTAGAATGCCCGAATGATACAGTGAAATATACTTTGACCAATGGGATAGTATGCGGGCTGCACGATTCACAACTTTTCACAACAATTCCCCAGGCGCGGGCCCCTTCAATCTGTTGGAAAACAAAGCATGGTAAAACTTACAGTAAATAGTCTTGCCCTGGCCCATGCTGCACTTTGTCCGAACAACACATGTTTGATCTGTTTAGGATAATCAATATATTAAAGGAGTTCGTGCTGTGTTCATGATCGGCAAATTCCAACATGTTTTTGTCCAACCTTGGCTTAGAGTGAACGCACGGTGATTTTCAATATAATATGGTTGATCAATCTTCCTTTCATGATGGAATGGAATGTTTATATTGTATTTCATGAAATCCATTGACGCCCCTCCCCCCTTTGATGAACCTGCGTGGCCCGCGCGGAGGTTTGTGCGTCCGTGGCCCGTCCCTTCGCCTGAAGTCGGTCTGGTGCAGCCAGACACGGTGCACATCGACACCCAAATCCTGGACGGCGACGGGAGACGTTGGGCGGAGAACCCACAGGCGATTTCACGCAGCTCAGGTGTTTTTTGTTGGAGTCACGCAGCTTTTCAAACGAAACGCGTGACTCGAACAGCAAACAAGCTGTTTAGAGTGCTGATGAAATTGCGTTCCACGAGAGAGTGCAAAATCAACCATGAACTGATGCAAACCAAATTTTTATGCCTGGTTTGTCCTGACATTCCCAACACCAAAGATACTGTCTTCAAGAGTTTAGCCAGGAATTTTGCCGCATCTTTTTGTTCAGTGCTTTGCAGTGCAGCCGCCGTCTGTCACTTGCGCAGTATGATGCAAAATACAGCTTCTCATGAGCCGCAACATCCCGTGAATGGTACAGAGCCTGCGTGTCATGCTATCAAAGGAAGTTGCTCATTCCTCGCATGCCCGAGCGCCACGCTGGCTCATCTCAAGTTGGCTGCTTCTCTGGGGGTTTCTCCTAACAGGTTGCAACATGTCGCAAACGAATGTCTTTCCTGGCTCCCCGGTTTCCCTTCCCAAACACCGAGTCTTCGTGCTCCGACCGCCTTGGCGCACAGCGCGTTGACCTGGAAGGATCGGTGGGACACCGACGTCCGGTCCCCGTGGAACGGTGGGGGAGAACAACGGTCGTGGCAACGAGTTGCCATGTGCCAACACAAGGCGCCCTGCACATCTGGTCTTCCAGCCACACAGTTCATGGCACTTGGGCAGAAAGTATTGGGAATTCATTCCAGAATCCAGACTCATTCGGTCTAGTGACCAGTGACAAGTGATATGACCAAACAAGGCAAGATGCATAAACACGGACTGAACGGCCAACGAATCGGTCAAGGGTGGGGCCCCGGTTCGACTAGAGTGACTAGAGGAAAACATGGAAAGCATGATGCATACACTTGAAGGAGCCCAGTAGCACCCCGCGGACCGAATATTTACGACCCAAACTGCTTGGGCCGGTGCATCTGTTGACCAATGGCACCCGAACACCACGCCCCTGGGCTCCAGGAGTCCAAACTACTCACCTTCCGTGTCATCTGGGGTGAACGACGTGGGTACATGGGTTCCAAATGATCTTCCATCATCTTCCATCCGAACCCATGACCAGTTGTCCCATCTCCCCGGGAAAAAAACGAGCAAAGAGCTGCTGGACCGTTCTTCGCGGGCGGATCGGACCCCAAAAGACGCTTTCACCATGTTTCGTCCGTTCAAGCCCTGGTCCGAAAGGGCCCCTGGAAATAGGGTCTGGACATCGAAGCGGCCCAAGGGAACCCGCGACGCGCCAGAACCAACGATGGTTCAGAACAGGAAAAGAAACCGGCAGGCGAATGAAGAAACATCAGCTCGGCAGAATTGCAGAGATGATTCTACCGCGTTCGGTCCAAGCACTTTCGACTGACCTAGCTTCTGATGCTTCCCTGATGGGTCCACTCTAGACTCCAAGGTTCAAAGTGTGAAGAGAAGTCTCTCCCAGAAACTGCAAGGAATCTCAATAATCGACCCGTTGATAGAACTCATGATACAACTCGGGGAACTGTTGGGTAAAATATGTCTCACCTCCACAAATTACTGATAAATAAATATATACAGTAATATGTAGTATATTGCTTTTATTACGGTTATATCATTATTAATTCTTCCACATGAACATTCATCTACACTATGTGAGGATTTGTTCACCCCACCACGGTCCACTCCCTCACGATCTGAGCGACATCTGCGGCCGAAACGGTCAGAGACTTCTTGGTGGAGGCTTCCTTGGACCGCTTGGACCGGAGCCCCATCTGGCTGAAGACTACGTGCCAGGCATGTCTACCATGCATACTGGGGTGGGGCTTTGACTCAGATCCGCATGTTGTTGAGACCTTGGTTCGTGGTTTAAGAAAGAATCACTTCCACTTCCCCAACACGTACAGTAATCTTATCAAATCCCAAGAAAGGCGGAATGGCAGAATTTAATCCAAAGAAACATACATACAGCCAGCCCCAGCCAGATCATGGTTTTGTGGGTTGAATACATGCCTTATGTCCAATCTGCCTCAAAAGTCTTTCCTCTGGTCTTGTTTTGAGGGGATGTTGCTGAATCATGACTTGAGCTTATTGAAGTCACCCGGTTCTGGCTCGCTGCCACCTGGGCCAATTCGTTGGACCTTCCAACCAGCTTGCGCAGCTTCCGGTCGTGTAGCGACCCGAAGCCGTCCAGATCAATCAGGTCGGTCACAAAAATGGTTAAACATGGTCACTCCGGAAAAAAAAAAAACACACACACACAGACACCTGACCCTGAGTGTTTTGTGGGAAGATCCCAAATCCAATTCCTATCTTCTCACCACTGAATTAGTTGGTGTGCAGAAAACCCCCCTGCTGGATCTTCTCACCAACCCAGCAGGCTCCGCGCCGATTCCTGGCGCCTTGGTCACCGGAGCCTAGGCGTTCGTCGGTCCGAGGCTCCCAGATCCGCAAGGACCACTTTGCCAGCAAAGTGCCCAGCAGTAGAAGCACGGCTAAAAGCACGGTGGCGAACAAAGGCTGAAGATGGGATGTGGCACCTCAGTCATCCAAGATCAACTGGAGAGCAAAGCAAAATCCAGATGTTCGGGGCTTTCCAGCGACCGAAACTCTGAGAGCTCCGGAGTGGGCATCCGATCCAAGCGATCCGAGCGATAACCCGCACAGCCCGATCAGCCTGCATGGCAAAGAAGGACAAAACATGACTCGGAAGGACCAAATCCTCATGACCATTTAATACCGATGACCATGTAGCCATAGCGAGACCCACCAGTTTTTGGGATGCTCCGAAAAAAACACCAACCTTGGAACAGCTGGAGAGCTGTGGAGAAGCATCAACAAAATGATTGAATAGCTGCAGCAAATCTTCAGAACATTTTAGAACGAGGTGACCCTTTCTGCCTCCAGCTGGTCATATCACCATGGCATATCACGGCCTAACATGAAGCACCTGACGGTGCAGGTAGTCGACTGAACTTTGAGTTTGGCAAACCTGGATCAGAGGTATCGGAATGTCTTCGCTTGGCAATAAACCAAAAGAAAAAAATCAAAAGAACATGAGTTTGTCTAATCGCAAGATGTGTGGAGCCCTGCCTGTCGTGAGGTTTTTGCCTCTCTCGTCTTGAACAAGGCTGCCAAAGACTTCAATGATTTGGAATACCAAACACCATTTTGACAACTGATTGACCTGAACGTGGAAAACATCTTGAACTCCCGATTTGAACCCCACCTTCACTTCCACCTTCCAATCTCCTAGCAATGGCCAACCTAATAGCGATGGCCTCCAACCGGAAAAATATAACACAACAGACATGGGACACACACCCACGTTCACCAGCTCATAGCTGGAGTGCTGCCTCACCTGTCAGGAGGTGAAGCGGCAGTTTAGACCACAGGATGAGCTAATTAAGGCTTCTTGTTAAAGCTTCTTTTTACTACTAGTAAGGCACCTGTTCCTAGTAGCGTGGCACTTGTTACTAGTAGCTTCTTGTTACTACTAGTTACTAGTAAGGCACTTGTTACTAGAAGCGATGCACTTGTTACTAGTCGCATTTAGGTTGTAAGTCAGCACCATGGCGGTACCACTTGGGGTCATGATATGTCATGGTGGAACGACCATCGTGCGAGGGGGTGCTGGGATGTGCTGGGATGTGCTGGGTGTTCATGTCATACAGGACCACGTATGGTTCGAACACGTGTTTCGTCCTAGTCCTTCGGTTCTTCCGAAGGATCCGAAGGTCGGATCCTACGGATCCCTTTTGTCCCTTCGGTGCAAAACCACCCGTTGATCCGAGAGTGTTGGATTAGGATGATGAAAAGGATTTATGATGGAGTTATGATGGATTTGTAGATCCTTCACACACTTCCAAAGACGAACATCTGTCTCCAAGCACTGGCTTGGAAAACCTGTTAGTGCACACCAAACACTGTATTCTTCCCATTTCTGTGGTCGATGAACTGACCTGGCTCACTTGGGTAAAAGAAATGCCTGGGCCTGGGCTCTGCTTTGGAGGTCTTAAATTATAAAGCAATCTCAAAGCACTGGGTCCGGGACTGTTGTTGCAAAAGTGATTTCCTCGCAGAGATTCTAAATATCCCGAAATTTGCAGCAACAGCAAACCCAGATTGTATCTGTCTGGATATTTGAAGCTGTCCAATTCCAGCACTGCTGAGGGGCCGTATTCTGGCAATCTTGCTAAAACGATCTAAAACGTTCCCATGACGAATCATAAAAAGGCATGGATTCAATGCAATATGATTCAATGGATACAGGTTTTGGTTTACCTCGTCGTTCCCATCATCTGTTCCGTACCCCAGCATGCTCCGCCAGGTACCCCAAGTCACCAGCTCGTAGCGCGGCATACAGCGCTCGAGCCAACTGCAGGGACACTCAGCAGCTGCACATCCCAGACCTTGGAAGCCGAAGGGCCAAACGGTTCGTCACAGTTCGTCACGCAACGTGCAAGGGGTGAAATGTGCGCAAAGGAACAACGGTCGATCTGATTCGATCTGATTCCGATATAGAAGCTGTATGAACCTGTTGTTTGCCTGACTGATTGACTTCCTTGGATGGATGAAGATGATGAGAGCATACTTCCAGAAGATCTCCGTTGGGCAGCATTGGGGTTCTGCCCTGCAAAACACCCCCTCACTGAATCTGGCTCTTAAAAATCTCAAAACCAGCTGCTTTGGAACCACAACCACTTGTAACTTCGTTCATGCCAAGACCTCAAACTGCTAGTAATGGGATGGATCAACAGCATCAAAAGCCGGCGTTTTCACTACCCCTCATCTTGAGGCAGAACAAGAAAAAAGAACCAGCATCCAAAAAAGCAAACTCTTTTGTCCTCCAGCCCTCTCCAATCAATCGATCCCAAGACTAATTCTTCCACAGTTTGTCTCGCTTCACAGATTGTTGGGGTGGACAACCCATGCTGGCCCCACAACCTGAACCATTGGGCCTCCAAATCTTTCAGTAGCAAGGACGCTACAGTATTAGGTGGAGGCCATCGCAAGTAGGTTGGAGGCCATCGCTACTAGGAACAAGAAGCTAGACTAGTAACAAAGGGAATTGGGACGAGAGACCTGAAGAAACATGATTGAACACGAATGCATGACCATCTAAGAATCTAAGACCACTCTGTGCACGTAACACCTGTGCGCTTGAAGCGACGAAGGAAGCGTTCCGGGTCCTTCCGGGTCCTTCCGGTCCCGTCGGACGAAGCGACCTGTCCCATCGGACGAGGAGGAAGATGGAATGTGATTCAATGTCATTGACATCCGTCATGACTCGTGTATCAAATCCCATTCCCAACCCACATTTGTGACAAAACCTCTCTCTCATGGAGTCTGGACCTTCTCCTTTTTGATCTTCAAATTCATCGGTCTGGGCCGAAGTTTCGCCCAAGCGACGCACATGCTCATCCCACCCACAGGCACCCAGCGGTCCCATCAGACGCCGCCGCATTCGACGGACGGCGCCGCCGCAGTCTCCGCGTCGCCCGTGTATTCGACAAACCACGCTGGGCTCGGGCCAAGTGGAAAGGGGAAGAAGAAAGGGAGCTGAGTGTGAAAGGGGAAGAAGAACCGAAAGACATCGAAAGACTAGACTCTTTGTCACAGTTCCTCCAATTTCGACGTTCTGAAGCTCTTCTTTCAGTTGCTCGCCCTCAAATGCACATGAAACAAACTGGTCCCTCAAATTACGGGTTTTTGGATCTTGAATTGTGACCCTGGCGTTGCCATGAATCTTGACAACTGCATAACTACCTGTCTTGGCTGACATGATTTACTTGGAAGATGCAAGTGAGTTGCCGAGTCGTGTGTGACAGCCACCAATGCTATATATTGCTATATGATAATGCGTTGCAAATGCTACGCATCTATAAAATAAAAAACTGGATTATCTCAAGACCTAAATCATCAGCTCTGGGAAAAGCTTGGGAACTCTCAATCAGTCCAACAGTGCGAATAGGCATATCATATATTGGATTACCCAAATCAGGGACTGCTAGCCGCTGGTCACACTGGGGAGATCAACCTTTCGCCACTTCTGCGCCCACCAAACACCTGCGCCGATCACGCCGACCACCCTCGGTCCTTAGAGGGTTCCAGCCACCCGTAGGTCCCAATCCACTCCACCAATTTCCCTCGCACACGGCGATCCTGGGAGCGTGCGCGGCACCCGTGTGCACCGCACCGGACTTATGTCCGGAGCGATGTCCGGGTTGGTCTGTTCGGACCGCTTTCGGAGGATTCAAACCAAATATATGCTTATTGTTTTTTGGGTGATTGGTACTAATTACCGCAGTTTTTAGAATGTTTGGTGAGGAGTCAATGTTTTAGTGAATGTTTGGTGATGATTGACACCAAATATGTGTCTTTTTCTATACCGCCATGTGTAGTCACTATAGTCAGAACTCAGGGTGGAACTGGTGGCTTATGACTCGATACATCTGACGACATCGGATGATGCCGACATCGCTGACGATGGCGCTGCGATGTCGGATTGTCCAGAACACGAGAGGCGGCGAGAGGCAATGCATGGCGTAGGTGTTGAAAAAAGAAACTTCGAAGATCTTGTGGCCACCCTACTGTCTTGCTGCTCTTGCTTGTCCTGCCGAAAGGGAGCATGTGACACTCTACACAGCCATCTTGGTTGGTATCGGACTAACTGTGACTGTCATCCTGATTTATATAAGTAAATTCCGTGTGCCACGTTCACCTTTACTTTTCGGCACTTCCTCCTGTCGCTTACTTTCGGTGTGCTTGTCGACTTCTCTTTAAGTTGATTACTTAGATCACTTGTCAGCACTCAAGTTGACGATTAATCCCAGTTCAACATTGAGAATGAGTGTCTGTGAGTTGGATTGAGTTGGAAACAATACCCACACATCCCCGACCTGACTCCAATGAACGAAACAAAAAAATGCAGAAAGGCACCCATCCCAATTTATACCCACAATCACATAGTGTACAGTACATCCTACCAACGTAAGTTCATAACTCGATCGGCACAAACTGGACTAACTGGACCCCGTTTGGCCTTCATCTGCTTCGCCATCGCCCAATTCTGCCAATGCCCAACGCTGACTCACAGGCGAAACCTCCAACTGTTCATTGATGTTCGTACAATTTCCCACACAATTGTATAATATTGCATAATGACATAGCGGAAGCAATTGAAAGAAGGTGCTTTTCCTTGGGCTGGACCAACCTCCGGCAATGGCGAGAACACCTACGTCAGCATGTGGCTGTGTACGAGTATGATGCATTTGACCACTCCACACGGGTGTGCCAGTCTGGTGCATACGCCACCGCAGCCGCGCTACATGCCGTCCAAGTGGCTGAAAGGCGCTGCCTTTCATCCTCCAGCATCACTTTCAGCGACCACTCCGATGCCATCACGCCGACTACTCCGGCACCTACATAGTAGATCAGATCTTTACCAGCTCCTCATCTGTGTGCGAGGTTCAACGCAGCACAGGGATTCTTTGGAAGGGTGTTCGTGCGGTTTCGGCATGGGCCTATATAAGTCCGGTTTCGGCTTTCATCCCCAAAACGGCTTTCATCCGTTCACGGAACTCGAATCATCGACCAGAGTTGGGAACCGGAAGACAACAAATTTTGGAATCCTTCACACAAATATCCTCGATCAAAAACCATCCTTGATTGAGCTTTCTGTAGTTATCTGCTTGCGTTGTTGGAGTGCTACCTGGTGTGGCTCGTGAGAACACGAGATCAAACGGTGAACACCATGGGATCCTAGCAGCTCAAAAATCAAACGTGATGGTCTGATAAAGGTCTGTGAGCTTCCATGAACGGGTTCACCTTAGGTGGACTCCCGGCTGATGGCTGCGGGCTGCCGTCGAATGCAGGGGGTTCTCCATCCGAGGGTTCTCTTTGATCGAAAAGAGCTTGATGGGCTGGGAGCCTCAAAAATAACACCATGAGTGCCCTTGAAACGGGAATAAACCACAGTAAAAGTGATAACATATAACATGATACTATAGATTACTATAATAGTAGTATTACTGTATATGATGCATAATTGTGTGATGGTACACAGTGAATATGTTGCATCTGCACGATCCCCGTTAAAATTTAGGGCGTGGGGTTGGGACAGTCATTTTGTATAGTAAAACATATATGTGTTCATTCTACAAAGTGAGATGTGAAGCATGACTACAACATGGCAGTGTAATACGGAGCTAAAACAAGAAATGCATGAAGAAAAGACCTTCAGTACATATTGTAGAAATCCAGGGGCCCTCAAACAAACATCTGATGGACCACCCGACATTCTGTAATTTGTTTCACGACGTGGCTTGAAGGATGGCATTGGAGGATCAATATTGAGGTTGTCCTTTAAAATGAGTTCAACGCATTCATGATGACGTAATGACATGTCAAATTTTGGAGAATTTACTACGTACAACATGTCGGGCCTTGACCCCCTTTTGACCTACAAAATGCATGGTACAAGCCTCAAAAATTGCCTTCTAGAAAAAGACGTGGAACGTAATTCAGTGTGTATTTTGTAGGCTCCAAACACGGATTTATATAAATACTACAGAATCATCAGTGGCCTCAAGACCCCCAAGGCCCCAACTGGGGATCCTGCACCCATGCAGTTGGTACGGTACGAGGGTGCACGTTGCATGAATGGACTCAAGCTCTTAGGCCATGTTTTTGTCCAGAATGCGCAGGCTTATCGCCACCTGCAGTGGGACGAGATCTCCGCTGTCCCCTCCACGGACTGCAGTGGGGGCAGTTTTGGGGGCACAGGCGGCTGAACCCTGAATTTTTTGAGGTGTGTTTGAGGAAAGCGGCTCCATTTTCATGAGAGATTATGTTTCATGCCGAAACGAAACACAATCCACCCAAAACCCCTGGTGGCAGCCTCTATATAAAATCATACAAACAGTTATAGCAAAGTTGCCAAAAAAAACACACTCACCGGCCCGGCCCCCGTTGTCTTCCGGCCGTCTTTTCTTGGTCGAGACGGCCACGGGCTTTCGGTCGGGTTCATTCGTCGAATTCGCCACCGAAGCGGAGGCCGCGGGTGCCGCCATAGCCCCGCAGGTCTGAGCAAAAAGAACGACACATTCAACCGTGGATCATATACCCAAACGAACAGAGGAAAACGCGCCTTTTGTGTTGTACCGGCAAAACTTCCAAGTGACAACCAGTGGAGACCAAGCTTAGTGTTGGTAAGACATCCCATTCAGAGTTATATATGTTTGAAAACCACCCCTGCATAGGGCCTTTGCATGCCTTAGCCATCGTTCTTCGCTGGCTCTTCGTGCATCTGAGGGTTTCTGAACCGCTCCGCTTGACCAGGAGGACGTGGTCCAGGGCTTTGGAAGGAACGCATCCTAGATTTGAATCATCTGCATGTACTCTCTCTCTCTATACTATATAACATATCTAAATACATAATATGAGCTGTGGCGAAAACCGACAACACCATGATGAAACCCTTACATGGAGGTATTTGACGCTGGGTTGGAAACCTCCATGTCATTTTGGTGCGGGGAGCCACCTCCCGCACTTCCAGCACCTCCCAGCACCTCGAGTTTCGGATGGTGTTGAGACTGTCTGCAGTCATTTTGAGATACTGAGTTTCATCATGCCCTCACGTTTGAAGCGAACACAAAACATCTTGCTTAAAAAGAACATGCACACATAGAGATGCAAAGCTCGCAAGCGCTTGCAACATCTGCACCGGTACTACCTGACAGTTGAGGTGATGTCTGTTTCAAGCATGTCTTCAGCAGTCCTTTTGTTGGAGAGAGCATTGTGGGTCTATTCACCAACAGGCAAAATGGAAAGAGGAAACACAAGGTATTTTGCTCCAGAGTCGGTCAAGTTGACTACAGGAAGATCAGAACAAATAGCACTTCCTGAGTGCCGAAATCTGAGTGAACACACATATATATATATATAATAAGCAGCGCCAAAGGAAACAATCTATCAACAAAAAAGAATTAAGGCCATCCAAACAGGAGCTACATGTTAAGAGCTAAGACCAAATCAGGGACATCGATCGTCTTTGCTGGCCGCGTTTTGCTCCCCCGGGCTGAGACTCCGAGAGATGAAGCTTCACTTGTCAGAGTGGTCGAAAAGCCCTCAGTGAGGAGATGACGGGAATTTCTGAAACAGCCCCGGGCCTGCGCCACTGCGTTTCACCCCCGTCCGCACGGATAGAACTGGTGTCTGCCGAGCCCTTACTTCGCCCAAGACATCTGGCCTCCTGGGCGGATCATCCGGGTATTGAGGTATTCAAGATGCTTGCCAGTGAATGCCGATTCAAGTGTTAAGCTTGCAGCATTCAACCTGGATCCCATTGTGGCTCTGGGAATTTGGATCCATTGAATTTGAAAGAGCATATTCCAAATGAACAAAATCCTAGCATGGAAGGAATCCACTCGAATAGTATGTTTGATTGTTGCAAAGTGAAAATCACTCTGTGATTGCGTGAGATCCTCTTCTAGGTATCCACATCTAATATAGTCCGACTGAAGGCTTGTATTCTGAATCCATTCTAAGTACTGCATCATTTGCGGACCTCAAAAGAACCCCAATCTCGACATACACCTGTCGCACGGCACTGCCTCGGGTGGCATTTGTTGGGAGGAGCCCCACAGTCGACACAACAGTTTGAGACATGGAGGGAAACGCCTTAAAGACAACAATTGCATACAATTGCAGCATCCGAGGCAGCGGATCTTGCAGTGGATCTTGCTGGGTTTCAACTTGTTTCAAAGCAACATCGCGCTCTTCGTGGTCAACCAACAACACTGGCGCTATGTCAATAACTCTCAATATCATACCTAAAACCTGCAAAGTGGAGAAACATGCGGAAACAACATGAAGTAACTAGTGGCTACCGTAGACTGCGCCTCATTGACTCATGCCAGAGAAGGCAGAAACATTGCCAACACCGCTGCATTTGGCTCCAACATGCTCCCACATTTGTACCACAAAACAGGAGGAGTGCCCGCACATCCCAGGGTTGGTTGTTCACCTCTTGGAAAGGGATTGTCTTTTTACCCCACCAGTGGGTTTGTATGGGTTTGTTGAAACCAATTGAATCCTATACAATTAGTGGATTCCAGAAATTCGGACGAAACCAGGGTCCCGAGCTGTGGATTTTGTTGATTTTCTGGCTCTTAAATTAAATCGCTTCATCGCTTGAAAAAAAGGCGAGCGCACCTGAAGGTAGGGCCGCGTACTGCACCTGCCAAAGATGGCCAGAATGAAAACAGGTGGCAAACCATGTGGGCAAGCTTTTCTGCTCGGTGGTTTCGACTCACAAGCAAAACAAACGAGTCAGAAGGATCAATCACCAATTCGAGGTTGAAGAAAAATGACATACACTCCCTGGAACTAACATGGAAGTGGAAGACCCCCTGTTTGTAGAGGAACATGGTCTTCCTTCGGGGCCGTGGTATTCCATTTCCACCTTAGTTCCAGGGAGTGGATCTGAAACCACCACTCAGAATATTCGTGTTCTCCGTGCAGAAACTGAGCCTCCTGAACCAACCGAGCCTCCATGGATAGACATGGCTTTTCAGCTTTCGGCTTTTGGGGTGAGAGGATCCATCCGCTCACTGGCTGTGATCGATGCCAATAGTTACGCTATTGGAGACAGACCTCCCCAAACTCTGATGTATCATAAGCCATCATAAGCCAGGTGGACCTGGCTTCGTCCCAAGAAAGACCTTCAACCCAGTGAAACAACATCCTGAGACATTCGCCGTGACGAACGTGACGAACGACCCGGTGGAGACGTGACCGTCATGCGTGATTTTCGCTTGGAGAAGGACGAGAAAAGCGTCCGGGATCTACACTTCCGTGCTGTTGGGTGAAAGTAGTCTTAGTATGTCTTAGTCAGCTTTTGGAACCCTTCAAGGATCTCACAACCTCATAGCCGATGCTATCTGCCTTGGCTGGTTGCAGCTCACCATTTGATGAATTCATATTTCTGCTGGAAGCATGGATGTTTCCTTGACACCGCATAAGCTATGTTGACACCAACAAGTAACTACAATACCTAGTGCGCGCCCAAAAAACACCAAGTCCAACGAAGTTTAGGTAACTTGGGATGATATTGAATGTACTATTCCCCAAGGGCACCTGGCATAGCCTCCCAATACGACCTTTAACGACCCGATACGTCTTAAACCTAGTGCTAGGATCAACTTAAAGTATACTTGGAAGAAATCACAACAGTTGGAATGCCCATCTACATCCGGTCACCCGCTCCAAAAGGGTCTGGCCCAGGTCTCCGGGCATTCCCGGAAAAGCATCAAACACCGTGCGTTCTGGCTTCACCAAATGCCCTTCGTCTTTCAAAACACTACGGCAGTCCGAGCGAACACCAGCAGTCCGAACCCGACGTTCACGAAACCTGCCTGCGCTGGGATGGCCCCAGTGCAAGACACCTGAGAGTTCAGTCCTAAACCCTAAGAGT